AGACCTAGCCCCAAGTGATTACCACATGTTTGGGCCACTCAAAGAGGCGATGGGAGGAAAGAAGTTCCGTTCTGACGAAGAGATACAGCAGGCGGTGCATGAGTGGTTGCGCAGACAACCACAAGAATTTTTTTCTAGAGGAATCCATACACTTCGTAAACGCTGGAGGGCCTGTATTGAACGAAATGTAGACTATGTAGAAAAATGATGTAGTTGTGTATCGCTTTCACTCAATAAATTAAATTTAAAAAAAATTACGGTTTTCATTTGACTCACCCTCGTATTTATAATTTTCCTATATATTATACAGTCATCTGCAAAAAGTCTAATAGTCGATTCAATGTTTCTCCAAATATCATTTACGTACGCGAGGAACAAAAGCACTCCCTTGCGGTACACCTGACGTTACTCTGACCTCCTCTGATAATTGCCCTCCTACTCTAACTCTCTGCGTTCGGCCTAAAAGGAATTCCCTTACCCATACGACTACCCTCGAGTCCACGCCCGATGCCGCAATTTTCATAAGCAGCCGATCGTGAGGAACTAAATCGAAGGCCTTCGAAAAATCGATTATAATCGCGTCTAACCTTCCTCCGTTGTCCAATGTGTCTGCAATGTCCTGACAAACCGTGATTACTTGACTTTCACATGAATATCCCGGCCTGAACCCATGTTGACCCTCGAATAACCAATTCTTTTCCTCCCAGACTTTCCTCAGGTACGATGCTATAACGTTTTCCATTTGTTTGAAGACCACCGATGTTAAACTGACCGGTCTGTAATTTGTGATGTTTATATTAATTTTTATGACTGACGCTGATTGTCTGCATTCGAAACGATGAAACAGATGAACAGAGACAGCCGTGTCATTGCAGTTTCTGTGACACGGAGAGGGACATTAAATACAATATTATTAATAGATTTACAAATTTAAGTATGGATTGTCCCGTGTTTGTGCTCTGGACGGACCAGTTTAATACCTCTGTCTACACCAAATATGAGTACAGTTTGTCATATAATAATGATAATAATCCGTGGCGTAACAGCCCTCTGAGAGCCAAAGTCGACTAGCTGGCTGCTGGCCTCACGTTCACATGCCTAAGCAGAGGTGAACGATCATCCAACCAGATACAGGATGACGTGTGGTCAACACGACGAACCCCCAGCCATTGCTAGTTTTCCTGACCGGATTACGCTACCCATTGTAGCTCCCCAATTTCCTCACGATGCTGGGTTGGCACCGGTCCCATACACTGGTCGAAAGCTCGTGAGAAAATTTCTTCTCCTCCGAGACTCGAACCAGCGCGCATTCCGTATCGCAGGTCCGAAGCATGATGCCTCAGACCGCGCGGCTACGGCGCGGGACTTTGTGTCATATATCTAATTTCCTTTTACAGACAAAATATACGTCGCTGGTGGAAGTAATTTTAACGGTGTTCTACACTCGGTGGAAGTTTATGACCCGGACACCAACCGATGGACGTTCGTTACAAGAATGCTTTCTCAACGTGAGGATTTTTCTTGCGTCACGTTCCACGGCTGTCTATACGCCATAGGTGAGAATTCTGGACTGGTCTAGGCAACACGGAGTTTTCCTCCGGGGGCTTCCCCGGTTTCTCCGTGGCATCCCAACAATTACTCCATTCACACACAGAAGAAGGCAATGGCAAACCACTTCTGGATTATCTGCCAAGAACGTATATGAACAGGTCCCAGTCCGAGAAAAGGATGGAAGGATCCTGTTCATATGGACCTGTCGTCAGACAGAACACTAAATAATACAAAATGCCTTACATTACCTTACCTTACATTACATTACATTACCTTACCTTACATTACTTTACATTACATTCAGCTACCACAGACCCATCTTAAGCGTAACTAATTCAAGTTAAATAAGCATTGTCTTAATCAAACTTATCTCGATTGTAAAGCATGTATAAAGGAAATATTTAGAATAAAGCCAATAAATAAACTTCCTTTCCGTATAGACGTATTTACGTCAAATTCTCCGGAACCGTGGATCCACTGACAACCTTTTATATACTGTGACCTCTTACGGAATGTGTGTGTGTGTGCAGGAGGACACAACGGGCCATCATACGTGGCCAGCACCGAAAAGTATGACCCTGCAGAAGACACGTGGACTGAGATCCCTGACCTGGGCGTCTATTCTGTTTACTTGAGCGCAGAAGTTTTTTGTCTTCGGTGGACATTTTGTAGAGGACAACTTCTTCCCCCATAGCGCACGTTTCAATGACAAGGAAAATCGATGGTTTGTTACTTTGTTTATTTGTTTGATTGTTCAGGACTTTATTATCACAAACTGTTACTTTGGAAAAGCTCTAGGAAGTGAATCATTTCCAGTAGACATAACCGCGATCTTGTGGATGCAGCGCCGTGTAGTGACGTAGAAATTGACCGACGTTTCGGAGGTTTTTGCTACATACTTAGGGCCTTGAATACAACGCACGAGAAATTGGAGAGAGGAAGGGGGTAGGATGAAAGCAGGCATGGCGATGTTGCGGTCAAGCTGAATCTTTAAAGCAGAAGGCGAATGACTAGGTAATGCTAATCAGACGTAAACTGTAACTGCATTAATAAGAAGCTCTTAGAGGAAGTTTCTTTGATCAGTGGCACTCTCTTGGGCAGGACGTTTCTGGCGTTCAGCACATCAGCATCGCCATGATCTTCGGCTTTCATCAAAGCGTTAGGCCAGGTTCAGGTTTAACGACGACTATCCGTCGCATGGTTTTTTATATGGAAATGGCTATCTCTTGGCATGTTTGACCTTGCAGCCTCGTGCCATCTGTTGACGGAGTGAATAAGCGTCTCCAGAAATATGCCAGATAACAGAATTCTTCATACTTGTTTGTGCAAGAGCCAGAAATCCCACAGAAATTCATTCGATTTTGGTTTATGTCTGTTTTACGTCTAGCAGAACCTCTCCAGAACTATTTTTGGTGGGACAATTTTTTTTGAAAATATATTGCTAAAAGAGGGAAATATTGTCATGGGCGCAAGTCGCAAACAAAACACGCTTATCGTTCTAAAGAAAGAGTGCGATAAAATTTATTATTCTGACCGAAGGTAATGGCATAATGAAGTGTACGAAACAGAACACAAGTCATTAGACAGCGTTTTAAAATAGGCATAACCTCTGCTTCCACTTTGATGTAATAAAATCTATTACGTTATAACAGCACGATGGCCGGTAACAAAAATTCCGAGTAAATAGATGTTTCCTAGGTAACCATTGTTGTTTATTTTTTGATAAATAGATGACGTTTCCTAGGTAACATAACAATGAAGTTACACTTTTTCGTAACACTTTTTCGTTACATTTTTGCCGAATGACACTGATAGACGTATTTACGTCAAAAGTATATATATTTCTAAGAAAATAGTCCATTTCTTTACATAAATGCACTGTCATTCAAATTTCACTTCTATTAAATTTATATTAAATAAATTAGTTACGGTAGAAGACGCATTCCTTTGTGAGTTACATCATCTCATGTTGAGCTACATATTTTCTATAACTGTGTCAGTGAAATGTGATAAAAATTGTCGAGAGTGTAGATAATACTGATGGATGATGAAAGAGGGTTGGTTTTCACTTATAATATTTTAAATTGCAGGTACAAGGTGACAAATATGAATGTTCGTAGATTCCGGATGTCGACTTGTGTCATCAAGAACCTACCGAATGCAAGCGATTACGCCTACAAACACAGAGACAAATTAATGGAGGAAAAACTTTAAAAAATGTTGGATTGTGAAAATCAGTAGTTTGCAGTTGTTTACAACCACGATGAACACACAAATTTTAATTACTTTCCTTACGAATATAATGAAGGCGACAATTGTCCTTAGCTGAGAGGATTACAACGGGAAGATCCGAGCCCTTCTGGAAGCCCCGAGGTATAGGTTATTGCCCAAGGACCTTAAGGAAGCCGTGGAAGGGAAGACCACCCTCCTCCTCAAGAAGTCAACACTTCCCGAGGTTATCCTACAGCTGCGGCCCCAGGGTTCGAGGCCTCCTAATCTGTAGGGGCTACCAAAGATCCACAAGGAAGGAGCTCCGCTCAGGACCATCATGAGCACCATCAGCGCCCCAGCCCACCGTCTTGCCCAGTATCTCGTGGGACTACCTGGTGGATAGGTGGGGCACTCTCCACGTCATGTGAAGAACTCCACCAAATTCATGAATACCATGAAGTCCCTCCGCGTGGGCCCTTGTGACATCATGTTCAGCTTCGATGTCGAGACTCTCTTCATCATGGTGCCCATTGGTTAGGCCCTACGTCTCCTGGAACGGCACTTGGATGGAGAAGTCTTGAGGGTCTTCCAGCTTGAACTAACATTATCCTTCTTTAAGTCTCTCGTAAAAGCGATAGTGAAACTTGGGTTATCGTAGAGGCTGGAAATTGACGATTTGAGACTGTATTAACATTGAAGGACTGTATTTCTCGGAATTGGATTTGGTTCGTCAAGTTCTGTTAATCACAATCTTCGGTGTGGTACAGATACAACGAATCTAAGACTAAAACGTCTGAGATATGCTGATTATGTTATGTAATAACGGCATTTATGGTCGTGACGTTGTCCGCAGGTTGCCCATACAGAATTTTAATAAATATTTCCATTCCTGTTTGATTGTGGTAAAATAGAGCGTCGGCATTCACGCCCTGTCGTGGAATTTTTCGGAAATGTGGAGCGTCTCCTGCTGGCCTAAAGAAAACATCCCTTAGCAAGTAAGAGGAAAGGGATATTTATTTCTTGCTGTCTGTAATGCAGTATAGAGGGCAGCTCTATTTCCTATTCAAGGTCACTGACATCTTTCGTGAATCCCTGCCCGAAGTTTGGTTTTCGTGTGGCTGCGTTAAGGGCCCACGCGTCTTGCAGTCTGCCTGGTCCCAGACGCTGTGATGGTTGAAGAGGGGAAGTCCTTTCAGGATGGAAAGAGGGGGAAAGCGAATGACCTTGACAGGACACAGGAATCACTTGCACTTGCACAAACTAGTTTCTCCATGCCCAATAAAATGAGTTGTGAATTAGGACACTGAGAGGAAATGTGAAATGTTAATGGGTTCTTGCCCTCC